ATTTACTACTAACGAATACTACTACTACTACTACTACTACTACTACTACTACTACTACTACTACTACTACTACTACTACTACTACTACTACTACTACTACTACTACTACTACTACTACTACTACTACTACTACTACTACTACTACTACTACTACTACTACTACTACTACTACTACTATTCCTACTACTACTACTACTACTACTACTACTACAATCACACCTACCTACACTACTACCTACTACTACTACTACTACTACTACTACTACTACTACTACTACTACTACTACTACTACTACTACTACTACTACGACTACTAAAAATTACCCTGGCGACGTACCCAACCCCTGCGCAAAAGCGGGGCGCAAATAGTTTAGGATACTGTATAAGGGGGCGATGACGGAGCGAGGGTTACATATGTCTGCAGACGGAATTCGGGAGACTCGCAGGACACTGGCTACAGGAAAAGGGCTTGATAAAGCTGATGATTTACAATTCCTGAGCACTCCTAGCCACTTCGAAAACGGGGATCACAGCAGGCCTCGAAAGTGGCGACAGGTTCACAGATCGCAGCCCCGCAGGGACGGCGAGGTCTCATTTGAATCTGCCCGTGGCCCTCACTGTGCTGGGCCCCCCAGCAGGCCTCGAAAATGGCGGCAGTTTCGCAGATCGCAGCCCCCCAGGGATGGCGAGGTCTAATTTGAATCCGCGCGTGGCCCTCACTGTGCTGGGCCCCCCAGCAGGCCTCGAAAGTGGCGACAGTTTCACAGATCGCAGCCCCCCAGGGAGGGCGAGGTCTAATTTGGATTTGCCGCGATTACCCTCTATGCTGGACCCCCCAGCAGGCCTCGAAAGTGGCGACAGTTTCACAGATCGCAGCCCCCCCCCCCCCCAGGGATGGCGAGGTCTAATTTGAATCTGCCGCGATTACCCTCTATGCTGAGCCCCCCAGCAGGCCTCGAAAGTGGCGACAGTTTCACAGATCGCAGCCCCCCAGGAATGGCGAGGTCTAATTTGGATCTGCCGCGATTACCCTCTATGCTGGACCCCCCAGCAGGCCTCGAAACTGGCGACAGTTTCACAGCCCCCCGCAGGCAAGACAGAAAGAGGCAGGAAAGAGGCGGAAGGCGGGAGGAGGAAGGACGCGACCACACTGCTCTATTCATCAAAACGAATACCCAACCAAGGAGGGTTGGGAATAAGACTACTATTACTACGACTACTGCTGCTACGCCCCGTACACCCGTATCCCGTATATCCGTACATCCGGAATGTCGGAGAAAAAACTAACCCCTGGAACCCTGAACTTGATTTTCTCCTGGGAACTATTATCGGGGGCACTTGGTTACTCGAGGAGTACGTCCATCAGAGCGTCTTTCTGGACATCGGAACACACAGGGTCAAAATCGAAGCCCCTGGCTGGCAAGTCGTGGTGCCCCACGTTCTGGATGCCAGCGCCATGCGGCAGAGCATGTTGGTCACGCCCAGGTAATTCGCTCGATGGCCATAATACCGAAGCTGGTGATCGTCGACACCCGGCTGGTGGCACTCGAAACTATGTTGGCGGCCATCGTATCGCAGCTGGTGGTTCTCGAAGCGTTGTTGGTGGCCTTCGTACCGCAGCTTGCGGTTCTAGAAGCGCCGTTGGTGGACCTTGTAGCACAGAGGGTGGTCCTCGGAGCTCTGCCTCTTGCACTCGTAAGTTTGCTGGCGGCCCACATCGCGTTGCAGGTTGCTCTTCTAGCTTTGCTTGTAGATTTCGCGGATCCGCTCGTAGCCCTCGAAACTCAGGTGGCATGGTGAAGAACCCGTACGCGGTGTATTTGTCGTAACAGTTGCACTAAGGCGCCCGTATTATAGGCGGCGGGGTCGTACTCATCGCATGCGGCGCGGCCGTTGTCCACAGGTACCTCCACGACTACGTATTTAGAAACCCTTTCGGCCTGTCCGGTCGCGTCGTATCTGGTGCCGGTGTCGGTGGCGCACCTGGTGTCGCACTGATGGTGGTTCTCGTCCTCGGGCTGCACGTCAGGCACCTCATTATCATCCTTGGGCTGTCTGTTACGCACTCCGGTCTCGTATTGAGGCTGCCTGTTACGCAACTCGTAACTGGACGCCCTCGCGATGACGCAACAATGTCTCCGGATCGAGACTGCATCCCATGTCGGACGCTGTACCCCACTCGTGGGTGGGCCGCGTATGTTCGTGCCCGTGTTCCTCTATGCGTATATGCGTGTGCGGTCAAGATGGGTAGGCCTCGAAGGCACAACGTCATGCTGACGGTGTCCGCGATGTAATTCCGCGGTGTTGCAGTCGCGGCTGATTACATTGGTGCCACGGCGGCTCCACCTCACCGCGGCCGCGGCTGGGGGGCCTGAGGCCGGCCCGCCCGGCAAGCTTCGCGCGCGGGCGAGTGCGGGGTATGGATCCCGCATATGGCCCTGCTCCTCCTCCTCCACCTCCTCCTCCTCCTCCGCTTCCTCCTCCTCCTCCTCCTCCTCTTCATCCTCCTCCTTGGCTGGCGTCGCACACCATCGTTTTGACAACGAAAGAGCAGATACAGGGCGGGTCGTTTTCAAAAAAAGTGATCTCGCCCTTGCGCCTCGCATACTCCGCTTCCGAATTGTCCTTAGCTGCACGGGTGGATGGCGAGTCGTTTTCCAAGACGGTGGGGGAATTGGACAAGGAGCCCTTATATAAGGAATCCAGGATCTGGAAGCCACTAGAACTCGAATCGTGGATCGGCCATGGACATCACTGCCGCCCTCATCAGATAAGGAATCCTCCAAGGTCTGCAGCCTCCTGGGCACATTCCTGAACAAACACCCCCACCGTATTGGGGTGTCCTCTTGGCCTCGCGCACATTCGACTATAAAGTCCGCCATGTACACTCCCCTGACCCTTTGTCGACCTCTGCGACCTGGCGTTGCATATCGTGCAATGGCTAACACTGATGGAGGGCGGTTCTTTTTGCGAAACGAGGCTCTCGCGCTAGACGTCCGCGAAGCATGCGTCCACGACGCTGACACCCTGCAGCGCCCAGACGGATGCAAGGCATGTTTTTCTCCAAAACGAGGCTGCCCGTGGGCCTCCCTGGAGGGCTTCCGCGTGGGGACTTCCGCAGAGCATGCGTCCACGACTGTGACATCCTGCAACCGTGGGACGGACGGAGGGTACGTGCTTATCAGAACGGGGCCAACATGGGTGTCCTTCAAGTGGAGGGGGAGCCTTTACAACAGGCGCCCACGTCTGACTGACACACCGACTGGCTACCCTTTCGTCGATCATGGGGGGGCGCCCAGTGGCACGCAAGACTCGCACGGACTTGTGAGGATGAAAGTTGGGACTGGAAAATAAATTGCAGCATCGAATGATGCATACTGGTGTTACTCTGGCCCTCTTCCTTCCCCTCCTCCTCCTCCTTCTCCTCCTCCTCCTCCTCTTCAACCCCTTCCTTCATCAATATTCACCTTTTCCTCATCATCACCCTGTTTCCCTTCCTGCATGCGGATCCTCCTCTTCCTGTTCCTCCTGTTTCTGCTCCTCCACCTCCTCCTGTTCCTCCCCCTCCTCCTCCTCCTCCTCCTTCTCCTCCTCCTCCTCCTCCTCCTCCTCCCAATCATCTTCATCACCATCACCAGCACCATCACTATCGCCAGACTCATCACCATCACTATCACCAGACTCATCATCATCACCACCATCATCATCAGCGTCATCATCAACAGCAGCAGCATCATCATCATAATCATAATCATCATCAGCAGCATCATCGCCATCATCATCACCATGACCACCACCACCAGCATCATCATCGAAATAGCCAGCGTGCTGATGCTGCATCACCATCAGCATCAGCATCATCATATACATCAGTTTCCTCCCCGTCATCATCACCACCAACATCATCGTCTTTCACGGGAACTATGAATTATGTGGGTAACTATATGTGTATAGATATACCGACTGATACCTCCCTTTCTCTCTCTCTCTTTCTCTGGCCGATGCCCCCAAACACACGTATATACATACACAAATGTATACACACACACACTTGAAGTTGGCGGCACGAAGGGTCCTGAGGCGCGAGCAGCAGATGGAAACGTTGACTGCGGTCGAACATTGTCGAAGACACAGTGCACACACCGTGCAACGTGTCAGCCACAGCCACACACACACTTTGTGACGTCGCGACCACGCGAGCGGCGGAGCGGCGTAGGGCAAGTCAAGCGGAGAGTCGCGCGCGGTCCGGGTCAGCTCACGCGGCCTGGAAGAGCCAGATCCGCCCATAGAAGGGAAACAGAAAGGGCAACACTCGCGAGGGGAAAGTCGCGAGGGGGACGCGGGAAGGGGGAAGAGAGGGGCACGACAGGGGGAAAAAAATGACGGGCCGAGGCCAAGAAGCGTGGCGCAGTCGACCCGGTTGCAACGGCAAGCGGCAGGGAGGAGGAGAAGAGGCATGACCCGGGCAGTGCAGAGCAGGCAGCAGCACAGGGGCAGAACAGGAAGGAACAGGCAGCAGCAGAAACGCATTACACGATGGGTGGAGAGCAGAAGCCACACACACACACACTTGTTGTTTGGCGATCGCGCCCTCGCGCGCAGCGACGAGGCGAAGAAAGTGAAGAAGTCAGCGAAACGCGCGCGGCGGCCAGGCCCTCAGCATCGCTTAGGATGCAGCCTACTGGCATTGGCCATACTGGCGTGGATGGCAGGGAAGGAACACGCAAGACCGTGGGAAAGACTCGCCACACCAGCACACACAGATACACACACACACACACACACGCACGCACGCACGCACGCACAAACACACACACACACACACGCACACACGCACACACACACACACACACACACACTCGCAAAACAAACTGAACCGATTGACCGAAGGACGTAACGCCGACAGCGACGAGGCCGACCAGACCGATTCCCGGATACACTTGATGGAAGATCGACCTCTCGTCCCGAAGCTGACCCCCGACCACGTTCCCATGCCGAGCCTCCCAGCGGCTCTTCGCGATGTGACGCTTGAGGTCCAGCACATTGCTCGTGCCTGCTACCTCCAATTTGAGGACGTCAGCATCACCTGCGGCACTCTGGACGAACACTGGAACCATGGCACCGCGACCCTGGCCTGGTCTGCAATGGCAGCGGACGCAGCAAAAGCCGAAAATAGTGTTTCGCAAGACGTGGTCCAAAGATGAAAAATGAAGCAATGAAGGACGGCAAAGCTAGCCTCAAGCACGCGCGAGGCGAGCGCAGTCGACAAAACACGCTCCAAATGATTGTAGTCAGTACAGTCATGTTTGCTAACGTGGGCCCCAAAACCTCCTTTATTGCACTCTGGATGCGTACTACATGGTGCAGACTATGCGGTGCCAAATATCTGGTGTAACCGATGTGATGCGAGCTATGTGGTGTCGCATATGTGGTGCAATATGTGTGGTGCAATTAAAATGCTCGCAGTGAGTTATCCACTCCACTGTTCGCGCAATCACCCCACCCACCCACCCGCAACTTGTTTTGCAAAACCCATGCGGCGGCGATTGCGACCAGTGCTTGGTGTTGACTGGTGCATCTCTGCGGCCACGCTAGCCCGAAAGCTGGATTTTCTTCACCACTGCTGGCAGGGCCGGAGAATACCACAAGAAAGACGCAAAGCGAGTGTGCCAACTTTACATAAGAAAAGAATAACAGACGATTGGGCAAATTACCGACGAACCTTGGATAAAAAATTTGCGTCATTACTGCACCTGCGCCTGGTGGAGACAAGGCGAATCGACCTCGAGCTTGGAACATGGAGAGGTAATTTGTTCACAATGGCCCTGGATGCGAGAAAAGCGTTTGAATCCATCAACCCTTCCGCTATGCTGCGGGGGTTGCGGTGGTTCGGCTTGCCAGAGCACATGGTGGAAGTCATAAGCTCAATATACACAGACAGGTGCTTCGAAGTGCGAGGTTGAGGGGTGACTTCGTCTTCGAGGCCCCACTTGTCTGGCATATCGCAAGGATGCCCCTTGTCACCGCTCCTCTTCGTCATGACAATGACAGTCATCATTGAGGACGTGAACACCGCCAACCATGAGAACGTGGCTCGCTGTCAGTCTTGCTCTACGCGGACGACACGCTGATACTGGGAAGGACCAAGGGGGGCGTGGAACAATTACTTGACGCCATACAGCATGCTGGCAGATGTTACGTTGTGGAGCTGCACCTGGACAAGTTCCAATTACTCCAAATCAGATGCGAACGAAATGTTCAAGACACGCTGGGTATCATACCTGCGCGAGAAAATATGATTTATTTGGGAGCTTTACATTCTGGAACCGTGGACGCGAATATAAAGCTTTCTCAAAAATATGGCGGCATTCAAGTCTTAGCAGGCGTCGAAAAATCGAGGTATACAAAACGGTGAGTCTTGGCAAATTGACGCATGGATTATCAACTTTGTAGATGAATACTGCTGGCTGGAGACGTTTGGATGGTGTTCATTGCCGGTGCCTCCGCGCGATCTGAGGGATCGCGCCTGCGTATATTTCAAGAGTGAGCAATGCAATCGTCGCAGACACTACAGTGCAACCCCTTTTTATCAGAAACAATAGCTCGACAACAGCTCCTCCTGCTAGGGGAAGCCGACAGGTCGCCGGAAGGGAGCCCCCTAAGAGAGACCACTTTCTGATCTGGATCTTTCCGGCCAGCTTCAGATAGGTACGTTAAGAAAGCTGGCAGACCGCGCGCGGACTGGACATCCCAAGTGCTACGTGCTGCCTGCAACACAGCAGGCGACATGGCCAATTTGACCACCATCCTGACTAGCGAAGCTTCCTGGCCGCAATTTGTCCGCGCAGCAAAGCTGTCCACGTAGCGCACCCTAGCCCGTTTGCATTGTAGCTACTGCAGATTTTTCCCATCTTGTGTCCGACGCACCCGGAGTGTATGACGTCTTGCTTGCTTGCTTGCCCGCGACCGCCTAGGCGGTAAGAGAGTGGCACGAGTGACAGCCGGGCGTAACCGGGTCTATTTGCGCGGGAATGCCGAAGGCGCTGGGATGCAAGGAGGGAAAAAGGAGGGGCGGAGGGGGAGGACGGAGAGGGGAGAAGGATGGGTTCGAGAGCTTCTGGGGAGGGGGATGCCTATCCGATGGAACGGTGCAGCCCCCCCGCACTCGGTGGCGACGAGGTGACAAGCGGTTTGGGATGCAAAAGCCCTAATTGACCCGCCCCCTATCCCCCCCGCGGCCCGAGTGAGCCATCCAGGACTGCGAAGGGCGTCATGGGGGTCGGGGCACTTACGTCGATGATAGAAGAAACGAGAAGAAGAGAGTCAGGGGGAGGAATGGGGCAGACGAAAGCCCTTTTAGGCTTTGCCCAGCGTGTGCCCTTTTGGCGTGCGCTGCGGGGGCGAACCCTCGCAATCGCCAGCGGGCGACACAGGAACCCAGGCCTCTCGCGCGCGTGCACCCGACGCGCCGACAGCACGGCGCCGCGGACCTGGCACTGCGACGATGAAGTCCTGTCAAAGACTGAGAGTCACAGATCGCGCGGGATCGCTGTCGCGAGATGGGAGCGTGGTTGGTCGCGCGGACGGCGCCGACGGCGAACGGGGCCCAGGTCGCGCACGCGGCGGGAAGCCGCGAGCCCGCTGTGGCGCACGAAGGCGCGCGAGATGCCGCGAAGACAGAAGACCGCGCGGACGCACACGGCGTGGTGCAACGACCAAATGGACACCCTGCCGCTCGGAAGTGCAAGGTGAGGACACGTGCTCGACGCGTCTGGGCCCGACGCCGACGCGAGACGAACACGGACAGCGTGAACTTGCACCACGGCCTGGGCGGCGCAGATCCTCGAAGGATCGTCATCGCCAGCGGCGCCTGGGGCTCTCCACGCGACGTCGACTGGGGCGAAGTCGTTGCGGCTATTGCTCGCGGTGGGAGGCTACGCGCCGGGAGCCAGCTCGCAGCGCAAGGGGTGCAGCGCTGTGAGAAGCCTCGGAAGACTTCTCGGCGAAAACACGGCAATGTGGGCCGTGCGTGTCGGCCCGAGGAGGGCCGTTCAGACGGCGGCAGGCTCTCCAACGGTGGATCCGGCGGCAACGGTGCCAGCAATGGGAACGAGGACACTCCGTCCATGGCAACATGATGAGTGGATGCGCACGCTGCGCCGACCGTGCGTTGGCGAAGCGCTCTAGGGCCGGACGAGGTCCCAGGGATCCTACATAAAACAAACAGACGCGGTAAAACCCCGAACGGCGAAACCCCGAAAACAACAGAAAACAAACCTCTATCCTTGAATCTGGCCCCCCCCCATCCCGATGGTCGGGCACGCTGGAAAACACGTCGTGGACTCTTGGCGCCTAATTAAATCGTCCAGGATGGCCCAGTATGGGTAAAAGGGCCTTCAAAGCTCATGGTGGCCGTCAAACTCGTTCAAGACAGCCCACGATGCCCCAATGATGGAAACATGATCCCAAGCACGGCAGAACCATACAATAAAGCTGCAATGGTGCGCATGACGGAATACCCGACGCAGCAAAAAGACAAGGTATCGAGGTAGATCCAATATCACAAGAACAATTGCTCCTCTATGTGTGCTCATCTTCGCAGCTGAGGCGTCTGGCCATCTCTCGAAAATGAAATTGCGACTGAGTTCAAGGAGGCCAAAGCACGTCCGCTTGTTTCCCCCTCTGTCAGAGACGTACGTTTCCGGTAGATGACGAGCAAATTGAATCGACTTGAACCCGACTCGAACTAAGTCAAGCCTGCATGCATGCAGGTCTGGAGTACTTTTCGACCCTGCATGCTTGCAGTTTCGGAGTGCTCTCTAGTCTCGCCATCGTAATCCTCATGATTATGATGATGTTGACGGCGATTACCGTGATGATGATGATAAGGATGATAATGATGATGATGGAGGTGATGATGATCATACTGGTAATAATAATCATGGGAACGATGCGGACGAAGAGGGTGATGATAATGATGCTGATGATAAAGATGATGATGATAATGATGATGATGATGGTAATGACGGCGATGATGAGCACGAAGGTGATGATGGTGATGATGGTGGTCATGATGATGGTGATGGTGGCGATTGCCAGTGACGCACGCGACGAAATCGGGATGCAAGTTCTCCTATTTCTTTGGTCGCTCATAATACGATCCTCTCCCCAGTTTCCCAATGATGGTGATGATGGTGGCGTTGACGATGATGATGCCAAAAGGCCCCAGAAAGCTACAAGATGGCCGAAGATGGCCTCAAGACAGCCCAACATGGCCTCACGACGGCCCAAGATGGCCTCCAGACTGCCCACGAGGCTTACGAGACGGCCCAAGAAGGCTCCACGGTCGCTTCCAGGAAGAGGCCCAAATCACTGGTTTCCACCCTCGATGTTTGAAAGATGTCCACATTCTCAACTTTCGACCCTCCGTCGGCTCAAGACGGCCCGAGGGGCCTCCAAGATGGCCCCACGACGGCGCAAGCCGGCCTTAAGAGGCCTCGAAAATGGCCTCATGACAGCCCAAGAGGGTCTCTGGAGAGACCCAGACGGACCCAGGAGGGCTCCAAGCTGGCCCGGAAGGGCCCCCAGGGCGACACAAGACGGCCTAAGCGAACCCCTTTGCACGGCCCAAAGACACCCCCCCACCAAGGCCCAAGAAAGCCCAAAAAAGGCCCAAGAGGGCCTCAAGACGGCCCAAGAGGCCATAAGAACGACTAGCTCAAAACAGAAAACCAAAGACGGACCGAATGAGGTCCATGTGGCCCCTGCGAAATTGGAGACGAAAGCTGATAGATGTAATAGTTTTTCCTCCACGTCATCGTCGTCGGCGTTCTCCTCCCTCTCCTCCTCCTCCTCCTCTTCCCCCTCCTCCTCCTCATCCTTTTTTTCCCCTCCTCCTCATCATCATCATCACCACCACCACTACCACCACCACCACCATCATCACCATCCTCGGCCTCATCATGGTCAGCAACATCATCACCAGCATCATCATCAGCATCATCATCACATTCCTCGTCGTCGCCGCCCCCATGAACTTCATCACCATCAACACCATCATCACCACCCCCATCATCATCATCATGGTCGTCGTCATCATCATGGTCGTCGTCATCATCATCACCGCCTCCACTACCACAAC